GCCTGCAGGACCACACAGGCCATGCCCGCAACGGTGTTGGAAGGGCATCTTCTCGTCTTGGGGTTCACGTGAACTGTTGTCAGTGGGTGAAGATCAGAAGGTCCTGCTCTGTTGGTTAGCCAACAGCAGAAGGCCAAGCTCCAGCTATTTATACCAGGCCCAGCCTTGAAGGTCTTGCTAATGCATCCGAAATGATCTCGGTCGATTCAGCCCTCGTTGGGGTCCTTTTCAGTCCGGCCTTCCTCAGCCATGGTTGCCCCCCCCCGTGTGCCCCCCTTATGCCTGGACCATGGCTCTCCTTGGGTGGCAGTCCAACTTCTCCTTTAAAGGAGGTGCAGCCCAGGTGGCAGCCGGAAGCACAGGTGTGCTGCCTCCTAGCTCAGAGCTTTGTGCAGATGAGGGTGGGACCGCTAGGCCAACTGGGGAAACCCTGGCTGGGCCTGCTGGTTTAAACTGGAGCTTGATGGACACTGGAGAAGAATTAATAGCACAAGCTCTCCTGTCAAGCAGAAAATCACCCGCCCACTTAGTGCTGTCCTTTCCCTCAAAGATTGTGCGGGTTGCTCTCCTACTTCAGTATAGGAAACAACATAATTTTGACGTGTTATGAGGCGGTATGAATTTTATAGGTACGGCACAGCATTAATCCTGCCGGTTTTGCATTAATACAGCATTAATAGCTTTGCAGCCCCTCTGCACGAAGATACTGCAGCCTTTCAAGCTGGCATCTGCTCTTGGGTCAATTTGTGGGCGAATATGCAAAGCAAGAAGGCTTTTAGGGTTTGAATAATTCTCCAGGCTGAAACAGGCAGAGCAAAATGCAGAACAGCCAGTGAAAGGGAGTGTGGGCTAGACCGGCAGATCAAAGGTACGGAACTGGCGCGTTCCCCAGCGAGCGTCAGGGGCCTTGTCAGGCTGCCACCTCTGCACCCATCATTCCCAAAATGAATCCTGACACCGCAGCCGTGAAAGGGGAGCGTCAGTCATTTGAATCACCCTGGAATAAATGCTTCACGATGAGCTTATGCATGTGTTTGGCTGTTTGAAGCTGCAGTCTGTGCATTACTGAGTTGCTTTAAATGATCAAGACACGAATCAGACTTTGAAGCCACAGAATATTTTTTTCATTTTGTTGCTAAAAGTAACGTAAACAATAGCGGATGATTCAATTCAAATTATTTCCCAAATGTGTTTGTAATGCTTTTGTGAAGTGTGAACATTTGCACGTTTCCATGGACTGTATCACTGTAGATGCTCTTCCCTCAAGGTCTGCAAGCTACATGAATTTTTACAAATAATGGAATGTCGCCCATTTCCAAACAAATCAGAGAGCGTTAATCTCAAATTATTTTCTAGGTCGGGGTGGCCAGACTAGAGGGTGTTTGGCAGATCACACACCCTCCAGACTAGGCTTATGGTGAAGCGTTAGGGAGGAAAGTCAAGAACTCTGGGGGCCCAGAGAGTTTTCTCTTCATTCCTTCCAGTTCTTGGAAGAGGAACAGGCAGGGAAAGAAGAGTAGTGCAGGTGAGTGCTTGGCTGCAAAGGTGGCGCTGACATGAAAGGTGTGGATTCGGGAACCATGGACCATTTCCTGGGAGATGGACGGCTGATGAGGGATGGGCTGCACCTTACTAGGACTGGAAAGAAGGTGCTTGGCCACAGCATGGAGACGTTTATCGGGGGGCTTAAACTGACTCCTGCAAGGGTGGGAGAAGCACCCCTGGGTGTGACAACAGACAAAGGCTTGTGCACCGTGACAGAGGGAGCAGCTCTGCCTTCCAAAAAATGTAGGAAGAAGCTAGACTCATATCATCTTCAGCATCTGCTTAGCGATGCCCAGATTATGGGAACCAAACAGCACGAACTCAAACTCTTAATGCAAGAGGGTGAACGTGACCTTATAGGTATAACTGAAGCTTGGTGGGACGACTCCCATGACTGGAATTCAACCTCTGAAGGACAGAACATCCTCAAGAGAGCAGAAGGAACAGAAAGGGAGGTGGAGTCATGCTATGTGTTAAAGATACCAGTTCTGCACATAAATACCAGAGGATGAGCTTAGTAGCCCCATCGAGAGCATCTGGGTCAACATAAATGGAGCAAGGAATAAAAGGAACACAGTGGATGGAACATACCACCAACTGCCCTCCAAGGAGAAGAGGAGCAGGACACTTTTGAAAAGCAAATTGCCAGTGTTTCAAGAAAGCACGGTGTCATCATTATGGGGACTTCTGTTGGGAGGCAAATTTTGCCAACATCGTCCCTACAAGAGAGTCTTTACATGTGTTGGTGATAACCTCCTCCTATAGAAAGTGGCGGAAGGAACTGGAGGAATGGAGATCCTTGACTTGAGTCTAACCAACAGGGAAGGCCTAGCGGATGAAGGGGCAGCTGTGGGAACTCTGGGAAAAAGGGACCCGGCCATATGGAATCCTCGATTCGGAAGGAAGCCAGAGCCAAAGGTAGCCAAGCACCAATGGTGGTTCTCAGGAAAGCTGATTTTAATAAACTCAGAACAAGGATAAGCAAAGCCCCATGGCAAGTGACTTGAACGGGGAAAGGAGTCTAAGATGGGTGGGAATTCTAAAGGCACACCTGCACACCATTCCAACAGGAAAAAGAGGCAGAAGACAACAGAAGATGGGGCAGGATGGCAGCCCAAGGCTACAGGCAAATGGTCAAGGAGCATCCAACTGGACTTTGAACTGGAGTTCAAATCTTCGGGGCCTAATACACTTGCCTGAGAGTCATAAAAGAGCTGGCAGAAGAATTGGAACCCCAGCTGAAAACAGCAGAATGAAATGCAGCAGGGATGCATGCCGAGTGCCACTCCCATGTAGGAAATGGACCCAGTGCAGGGACCACCTGGGGCATTCTTGGCGCAGCCACACTGCAAGTAGCAAGCTGATCAGGGAGCAAATCTGGCAGAGTAAGCGGTATGCATTTTTAAAAATGAATGTATAAATAACGTTTATTTATTTAAATAACACTAAAATGAATTCAGCTTTAGCTCACAAGCTGAGTATGAGTTAAGAACTTGATGTGGCTGTAAAAGAGGCAAATGCTCTTTTGGGCTGCATTAAGAGAAGGCTGCCTTCCAAGTCACGTGAGGTGCCAGTTCCCCTCTACTCACTCAGCACCGGAGAGCCCCCCCAACCCCAGAGCCCTGCGTCCAGATCTGGGCACCGCAGTTTAAGAAAGATGCAGACAAGCTGGGAAGGGTTCCGGGGAGGGCAGCAGGGATGATCCGGGGACTGGACACAACGTGCCATGAGGAGCTTTTTGTCTTGCTTTGTGAAAAGATCCCTGCTTATATTCTTTAGCTGATTTGTCCCTTAGAAACACAGAAACAGAGCGAGTCAGAAGGGTCCTCCCGGGCCATCTAGTCTGACCCCCGACTCCAGCCGGCTCCGCTCACGACATGCCCACCATGTGCACGTCCAGCCTGTCCTTGAACACCCGTACCGATGGGGCCTCAACCACCTCCCGTGGGAGCCCATTCCACACCCTTGGGGTCCTGACTGTCAGGAAGTGCTCCCTGGCATCTAAGTGGAACCTGGGTTCCCTGAGCTTTGCTCCGTTGGAGCGCATCCTGCCTTCCTCTGCAGGGGAGAACAGGTCTCTACCACCTCCGTGTGACATCCCCTCACATGCCTGTATGTCGCCAACAGATCCCCTCTGAGTCTCCTCTTCTCCAGGCTGAAGAGACCCAGTTCCCTCCGTCTCGCCTCATACGGCATCCCCTGCAAACCGGCCACCATCCCTGTGGCCCTGCGCTGCACTGACTCTAACCTGGCTAAATCCTTTCTGTAATGAGGGGCCCAGAACTGAGCACAATACTCCAGTTGTGGGTGCAGCAGAGTCGTATAGAGTGGTAGTAATACCTCTCTCGATCTAGAAGCCACACTTCTGGCTATGCAGCCAAGGGTGGTGTTCGCCCTCTTGACCACCGCATCACACGGCTGGCTCATGTTTAGCGCTTGATTGCATAGCCAGAAGTGTGGCTTCTAGATCGTTCTTGACCCTTTGTTCGTTCTTCTCAAGAATGATCTTTCTCACGTTTTGGAACATCTTGTGGTTTTAAATAAGCACATGTATTGCATGGCCAAGATCCTGCTCCTGTCTCTTGGGTTCAAAAATGCATACATTTTGATCAGTTTCACTGGTCCAGCTATTGGCTCCATTATTGGCAGATGCAGTGATGAAAACAAAGTCATCCTCATGGATGGAGGAAGCCCCTTTGGCTTGTCCTCACTGCGTTCTGGGACATTTGTTTCTAAGGTAAAAAAAGTGCATCAAAGCCAACATCCTCTCTTCATTCTCTCTTGGACACTGGACAGAATTAGATCAAAACTTTTTGAAAATGTCAAGGACCTTGCCCATAAAGGCCAGCTTTTGATCATCCTGCCGCAGTCTTTTAATCACCCATATTAGCACTTTTCTCTGCTGATGCATTGATTTCCCAGGGTTTGGTCTCACTGATCTAATCAGCGGACCTGCAGTCGGCTTGAGAAGAAAAACCCACCTCTTTCCTTCTTGGCAACTCAGCGGAAAGACATTGCAGATTATGGCTTTGTGGAAAATGAGATGGCTGTGGGCCAGTGACTAATTATATCAAAGGGCTGTGTGCGTAAATTATTTATGGGCGAAAATGTTTACCCCGGTGTTATTAAAACCAGGGCGTCTCCTACAAAGAAAGCTTTTGGTTCAGATCGATGTGACAGCTTTGCTGCAGATGGTATATCCAGACAGGAATGTGTGTTTTAATGTGTGGTTAAGCTATTTGTTACATTAAGAGAAATGCATTTCCTAGCTGAGCAGCAGAAAATGCAGACGGATACAATTTATGTCTTGTTCGGCTTAGACATAACAGTCAAAGCAATAAAAACAGAAAATGGAACAACCTTGAAAAATGTTGCTTGATGGGACTTTGCAATCCTGGGTATTTATTCACAGGAGCTCCAAATCAGTAATCAGAAACATCCTTTCTTTCATGCAGCAACTGCTGAAAATCCAAGAAGAATTAAACAACAAGAAATCGGAACTTGAGCAGGCAAAAGAGGAACACACACACACCCAAACCATGCTGAAAATTCTTCAGGAGCAGGTGCGTCCGCGGCAGGGAGCGAGTGTTACGCGTCTGCACTGCGCTTTGCAGCGACTGGCTCTGCCGGCAGCTGCCTGTGACCTGTGCATGAGGGGAACCTGCCTATGCGACTGATTTGCCACATAGTTTAAGAAGACTGTGGGTGAAGCTAGGGAAACCGTGGCTAGCCACTGCGGGGACGTGTTGCGAGTGGGAAGACACCACCGTGGCTTAACGTATGGTGGTTTGCTTGAACTGGCAGCATGTGCCCACAAATGCCAGCATCCGTTCCCCTAACGATCTGCCTGGGAGTAGCTTATTGTGTCATCCAGACTGGTTTGTTTGAGACAGATGGCCCACGGGATGTTGTAGGGTTACCTAGTGTGGTTTGTCCTTCAAACGAGCCATGTTGCAGGTTTGGACAGGTAATTAGGGCAGGTAATTAGGGGAATGGTGCCCAGCACATACCACCCATCCAAACAAGCCCCCGTGTCGTGATGTGTCTGATCATGAGAACCGGCCACTTGTCAAGGCATAATGGAACTGTGATTCTCTGGCAGCTGGAAATTTTTAATCTCATCTCTTGTAGCACATTTCCCCTCGCACAGATACCAGGATGCCTCGGTATTTTTCTATCTGAAGACAGATGGAGTTGAGGAAAGTTAAATATACCAGAAAAGCAAACATATATCAAATGAAACAGCCATTCCTTTGAAGACTAGTAGCAGGGAAAATGAGTTTAGCATTTCCTGTCTCATTCACATAGATGCACACATGCAAAAGAGTGAATTATGGTGACAGTAAACGATCCCCAGCGTTTCCGTGTGCTTACCCAACAGCAGCAGGAGGCAAACCTTTTATACGTTTGACAGAACTGTCGGACTCCGTTTTCTCCAGCCCCGTGTGATTCAGGAGGGCATTGTTTCACACCCTGGGTGAAGCAGAGGGCTTTGCAGGAAGGGGCACCCCAGGCCAGACCGATCCACAGCTTGCTCAGGTTCCAGGTGGTTTGAGAGACGAGCGGAGCACTGGGCGCCTGTGCCTCTCGGTCATCTGGTTGGCTGCGCAGGGGTCCTGGATCGCCTCTGGGTGCATTTGCTGTCTTGGGGGGCGCCCCCCTTTAGAACCCTCCCCCTTGGCATGCAGCAGGCAAGAGGGTCAACGCTATTCGTTTACACCTCTGCCATTTAATTTGGTGTTCAAGGCAAGCCTGCTTTTGGAATCAGCCGTAGCGAAGGCAAGAAAGCTGCGCCTGGGAGAACAGGCCAGCTTCCTTGAACGTCTTCTGGTCTTGTTTAAACTGGGACCCAGGCTGAATTTTGAACCCTTAAGTGGATCAGTGGAAATTCTAACTGCAACTGATACAGCTTTGCGATGTCAAAGCCTAATTGAAGTTAATTCATTCCTGATTATCAAGAGATTAAGCGGCTGCCTGAAGGGATTGTGTTTGGTAACTTGCCTTAATGAGGCGGGGAAGGCACCACGTGGGCACTTGGGGAAGCTTACCGAACGCTCGGAAGGGCGCCATTTCCCATGCGCGCCCAGAGCGCGGGCCCCATTGCGGCTCTCTCTCATTCCAGAACATGCTGCTCCGTCTTTTCCACCAGCAGATAAGAGCACGGGGCCTGCGTAACGAATCCTGCTTTGTTTTCTTCACGGATCTGCTGCTGTGGACAAAACAAGCATTTTCCTTCCGCCTCCTCTGGCTTTGCCATTAGTTCCTCCGCGCACTCTGGACATTGCATTGTTCGGGAGCATTCCAGGAAAGCATTTCGGATCAAAGCAGTGGCTCCCGCCGTGGCAATGAGTGGAGTGGGCATGCTTGGGCCTTCACAGGGTCTCTGCATCACACCCGTCGACGGCTCCTTCTCACTGAGCTGCTGTACACTTTGGGAGACCTTTGCCTTCGGCCAGGTGCCCCGCAAACTGTGCCACTGCAGGTTTAGAGAGGCTCTCCCCGGCAGGTCCAGGGGGAAGCGTCGTACAGCGTAGCCGCAGATTCAGCTGTGCACATGTTTTGGAGAGAATAAAGCCAGAGCCAAGCCGGGCCTGTCGGCCTCACCTCCTCATTCACTCGCACTCCGGTTGTGCGACCCTGCTTTCCCTGGTCGCTCCAACGCCTTGCAGTACGGCTGGGGCAGCCCTTGATCCTGGTGCCTTGCGGGGCTTCTCAGCAGAAAATGGGCCATGATCATCTCTCTCTCCAATGTAAGCCTCTATACTTCCATGTTTAATCTCACTATGGATTTGTCTGTATTTATAAAATGCTCAGAATGTACCGGGCAGTATTTATGATCTGAAGACGCAATTGTGGAAGAACGGAAAGGGAGTGGTGCCCTGGCATTTCCCCACTCCCCTGAACCTGTGTTTATAAGCCCCTAAGATGGGGATGCAGGTGGCGCAGTAGCTTAAACTGCTGGGCTGGTAGATCAAAAGGTCGCTGGTTCAAATCAGCACAATGGGGTGAGCTTCCATTGCTCCGTCCCAGCTCCTGCCAACCCTGCAGTTCGAAAGCATGCAAATGCGGGTAGATAAACAGGTGCCACTTCAGTAGGAAGGTAACAGTGTTCCTTGCACTTCGGTGTTTAGTCATGCCGGCCACACAACCACGGAGACTGCGGACAAACGCTGGCTCCTTCAGCCAGGAAACGGAGACGAGCACCACCCCCTAGAGTCAGGCATGACTGGACGTAACGTCAAGGGGAAACTTTTACCTTTACCTTTAAGATGGGATGCATCTGTTCCCCGGCTCATTTCCACAAGAGTCCAGATTTTGTTTCTGGACAGTTGCATGATGCCACAAGATGTCAGAGTGCCATGATTCCTTTCTTTAACTAAAAGCATCTTGGGAAGTTTGAGCAGCAGTTCAAAGATGAGGTTGGCGTCGTAGCCCCACTAGTAAAACAACTGTTTGGGAAGTCTGAGTGGAAAACGGGAAGTCTGGCTTGGAAAGTGAACATACATGAGTGGGAATGGGGAGAGAGTCAATCCGCCGGATCCTGTTGAGTCCTCCTTTGCTCCATTCTGCTTTGGATCTGGACAAAACTTAGAGGAAAGATTCATGGAACTCTGCATCATGTATCCTCTGAGCCTGAAATGCAGAGCTGTGCACATTCCTAAACCTTTGCCTTGCAAATGGCTCTTTTATAGGTTACCATGGTCCAGTTTTTCTTGGGGCTTTATCGTTTTTCTCTCCTGGCTTCAGTGGGCAATGCTTGGTGAGGCAGCCCATGCCTCTTAATTCCATAAACCCCTAAGCTCAGATGAGTTGCCACACATTTCTAAACGGAGACAGAATTAGGTGTCTTTTGCAGGATCGTCCATATGAATCCCTTTGAGGACTGGCGCCCACAAACATGCGAAGTATTATACATGGTTATCACGGCACTTCAGGCACATCAAGAGCAGAGTGCTTATAAAGTTACGCCGGAGGCATTTTTCCCTGAGCACAGTGGGAGTCGCTTTGGAGTAAGCATGCATGGGATTGCATTTAAGCCATTTAAATGGCAGTTGAGCTGAATTTCAACAAAGGGTTCCAGTCCCGGCCTGCAGGTTGCTGTGTTTTCCCTTGAAAGCAAATAGCGACTTGAGAACAAGACGTGAATTAGGGGAAATACTCGTCTCCCTTGCCCAGCTCCATGGCTCCTGTCTGAAAGGCCTGGCAGCCATCCTGTCCCCACAAGCAGTTGCCTCTGCGTGGCAGGAAGGCATCCAAGATATGGAGGCTGCCCTGAAAAGAAGGCACGGTGCGTTGGCGGTGTGCGTGGGAACCTGCGTTGGCCTCAACAGACCACTGAGCCGTCTCCCTCACGCTGCAGTTCGCTTCCCCCTAAGTCCTCCTGCCGTCTCCCAACATGCATGCGCACAGTTTTCCTAGGAAACCTGTCTCAAAAGTTACGTTTGCGCAAAGTCACCAGTGGGCTGAGGAAGCAGCACTGCTCCGGGAGGCGATGAAGAGGCGCAGCAAGGTGAAAAACCACGCTGGGTTCGGACGTCACATTCAACCTCCTGCACTGAAACCCGCGGCGGCGTAGCCCTGATACGCGAATCCAGGTTTGCCGCATCATCTGGCCTTTGCCAAGCCACTGTGGCTTGTTAGGTGTCCTGTGCAAGCTACTGGTGTGTTGTGAGCATTTGCAGAACGGCTTATGACGCCGAGCCACCAGGTTTGTTGCCAGCCAGGGCCTGCTGTAGCTACGCTGCTGAGGGTAATTATTAACCCTTGCATGGGCGGAATCATGGTGGGGAAGGGAATACTTGCGGCTGGCTTCCGTGGCTGCGGTTGCGCAAACTCTCTGACTCCCTGCAGTCACATAGACTGACAGAAGAGTTTTCTGCTTGAACCACTTGAGATATAATGAGCTGTGCATTTTTCCCAGACGCTACCCTGAGAAGGAAACCTATCAAAGCATTTCTCCCCATTTAAGCCTTCAAAAAAAGCATCATTCCAAAGCAATCATTAGTTGACGGCTATTTAGCTGGCAGCAACTTGCAACCACTGCAAAGTTTCAAATTAATAGCAACAAGAATGGGAAATGAAATCATTTATTACTCCTGAAAGCCAATTTTACACACTTCTTATGCCTCAAGACTGCTTTCTAATCTTATTATTTAAAAAATAATGATCCCGTCTTCACATTTGCATCCCTTCTTTAAAGCCAACCTATCAGGCTTTAAATGCGTTAAGTTTCAAACTGGTTTCAGCAAAACCTCATTAGGACTCTATGCTCCATCTGGTTTGTTCATTGGGAGCCTTATAAAAAGTAGTACTTTAAATAAATCAACAATAACTATGTGAAATAGTCTAGTAAAGATTGCGGGGGGTTTCTTTCTTTTTTTGTCTTCACAGTTAAAAAAAAATGCAAAGGAGTTAGCAGAGACTAATGGATATGATGAATCGCAGGCTAATGTAGGTACAACGTTGTGTTTCTTTCTCAAATTCCCTCGCTTAATATTTGCGCTGTGAAATGAAAGTAATTGCAGTGGATTAATGGTCTAAGAAAACATCCACCTTTTCTTAGAATTACAGGGTCACTTCCCAGGTGACTTATTTCAAGATAAATGCATTGCTTTTTAAAAATCTACCTTGTGGAATTGACACACCTCCGGTAAGAAATGGCTGGCTCTCCTCATGACGTTTAGCATGGCAAGCGTTCTCGTGTTTCTCATTGCCGAGAAATGTATATGTATGAGAGGGTAAGAAATGTGAATAATCAAGTTCATTCTACAAATGCAGCTTACTGGGGATTTCAGCTTTATTTGTAAACCGTGCAGGATTTTAGACTTCGGGAGAAGAGAAAAAAACCATGCAGCGGGGTCTGACTGGATTTAATTTTTAATTTATTGTATTTCATTTTCAGCATTTATATCACATCACTCAAAACTTTCCTGAGGCTGTGTACAACAAAGTAGTAACATAATTCTACAAGCATATAAGCTATGGATAAAAACACCTACAAAACTAAAATGACAAATGGTAGAAGAAAATGCAGTGTGGATTGAGCTTGCCTGATTTTCCCTATCTGTGATAGTTTCTGCTCTCCAACTCCTCTTCCTAAATCAAGTTATTTCTAGGAAATGGAGAACTTTTAATATGCATTTGGAACTCCTGTCCTCAAAACCAAATATGGCCAGTGGTGCAATAAGATAACTGCCCCCCAAATTTGATCAAGTTAATGATGTTTGATGTTTACCTATCAAGAGCATTGTCTGAAAAATGCCACTCCGATTAGTTGACCGTGTGTTCTCTTATGGAATTGGCCTTATAAAATGTTTAAAGCTCCAGTATTTTGCAAGATAATCGGCCATTATCTATGGCCGATTTATACACTTGACCACACATGGCAACAGCATAATTTGCCATGCAGAAGTTTCGATTGTCCTCATTGGTACCTGGGGACCTTCTGGGATCCCTTGCGAATTCTAATGTATGAGAAGCAGTACCATAGATATTTCCAGATGAAGCCCAAATTCCTGCCTGGCCATTGTCATATTGGTGCCCTCAAGAACATTAATTTGAAAGTATATTCGCTTCAAATTGAATTCACCTCTTGCATAGTGTGAATTCATGATGTCTAGTACAATGGAAATTCTTCTCCTGGTGCACTTTTCTTTTGTCGCCATTGCTCATCGTGAATAAAAATAGAGGCACTCGTTTGGTGAAGGTGGCAAGCAATTTTCCTGCCTAATCCATGGTGGTTTTTATCTGAACATTAATTTTTAAGGGCCTGGAGTACTGTCCAGATTTCTATCGTGAGGGGGAGAACGGCTGCTTGGACGAGCGATGCCAAACCTTGGCCTCCACTTCCCTCGAACAGCTGTCCTGGCTAGGACACTCAGAGCGGCAGGCTAGCTCAGTAGCAGAGCGCAAAACCTGGGTCAAACCCCCCCAAGAGACTGTGAGTGTACTTTCCTCCCCGCTTTGCTTTCGTTGATCAACATGGCATGGACTCTCTGTTGGAGTAGCTAAAACCCCTGGGGAGAGGATTATACACCGTGCTGGAGCGTGCTCGCCGAAAGGCGGGGAATTGGGCAACCGTGTGGCCAGGGCTCCTTCCCTCAAGCAACTCTGCTTTGCCTGGATGCCCTGAAACAAGGGTAACCCGCAAGGTGTGAGCAGCCCTGACTTCGGGATTGGAAACCAGTCTTGGAAAGTTATATTAATAATAAATAATTGTGATGATTTCATTTGCCACAGTAACGAAGGTTATTGAGGGATGAGAGCCCAGTAAACAGCATATCTTGACGAATCTGTCTTTTAAAATCGAGCGTGTCCTGATACAGAAAGTGGCCTTTGGAGAAAGCTTTCAGAGCTGCATTTATTGCGAAGGGGAGTAGATCGTTCTTCTGCCCACTCCCCACCCTGAAACGAGTTGCGAAGTCTGAGCAGATCAGAATGCCCTGAGAGGGATGGATTTGGTGGCTCCTGACTGGTTATTAGTGGTCCATGATACATTTAATGGGATTAGCACCTATTTGATACAGTTGACAAGTTGGATTTAGCAAATGCCCTCATATTCCGTGCAAGATCAGTGCGGTGTTGGCAAGCTGCGTAGTACAGAGGTGTCTGCTCCATATTCTGAAATATCTGCGAGGGGGTGTTATCTAAACTGGCTGCTTAAACGGGTATAAAGAAGCAGAATCTGAACAAGGCAGCCGTGCAGTGCCAGACTGTTCACGGCAAAGATACTTGGTGAGAAGTGCTGAACGCTTGCAATTGCTGCACAGAAAGTAATCTTCTGGATGACCCGAGAAGCTTTTTTTTTCCCTTGGAGCTGACCTTGGTTGGTGTGTTTGTGGGACCCATCCCTTCTCTGACAGACAGACAGACAGACAATTTAGTCATGAAATAGGCCGTCCGTCCTAGCGCAGACTGTGCTTGTTAGACTACCACTTTTTCCAGAAAAACTTGCAAATGCAAGATGAGAGAACTGCCTAGGTAAAAACTGACAGTATTGCTATCTGCAAATGTTTGTGCTGTCAGCCAGAGCTTGTTAGCCTTTAGGAATGGGGCTGAGGCCTCAGAAGTAATTCAGGTTTGCTTGGTTGGCCCTTAATTCCAGTTTGCTACTGGTGCCAAGTCACTGCACCAAGCATCTGGCAAGGCGGACTGCAATCTTCATGCTTTTTACAAATCCAATCAGCTTTTTGCAAATCGGCACTGGAGACCTTTGCAGAAACTGGGGAAGTTTGCATCTGAGAGGGATAGTTTTATTTATTTATTTATTGTGTGTGTATTTATAGGCCCCCTATAATCGCCGAGGCCTTGCTAGGCAGCTCTCAGTTTAACCTGCAGTCCTGTGCAGGGCAGGGGCTTCGATCTCCAGTGCCTGCCAACTCTGCTCGTCTAGGATTCTGTGAAGTTCACGACATCAACAAAACTGGCACTATTTATGCAAATAGCACTACGCCGCCTGTTTTGCGTCTGTTTGGCAGAAAGCAGCGCCCGAAAACATGCCGCTGGGCAAGAGTTGCACAAGCGGCACTGAGCTGGGTGTTTTCTGAGTGCCATGTTGTGCAAAGGCCGCCCTTGGCACCATGGTTCCACACAATGCGGGTGCCAGCTGCCGGTTGCCTGAAGACACCTCACGGCGCAGCATTTGCGCGAACAGAGCTAGTTCCATTCGAGTTGCATGTTTTCCCAGTGGCGGTTTGCAAACATGCGACAGCCAGATGGGAAACCCGTGTGCCGCGTGTGCCAACGGCAGCCCGTCTTCTAGAGGAAAGTCCATGGCAAACGTTTCCTTGCCCATTTCCAAGCAGCAGACGGAGAATCGACAGCTGCCTCTGGGCTGAGCCACGCGTGGCACTGGAGAACCCTCACCTCACGCCCTTCCCTGCGCTGTCTAAGCTTCTCCGCCGCCTTCCGGCATGGACCGCCGTCCCCGGCATCCCAGGCGTTCATGGCTTTTGCTCCTGGAAGCAGAGAGGGGGGCCTCCGTGTTCTTTGCCTCTGGCAGCTGAGCCTCTGAGAGCCAGGGAGAGGCTTCTTCCTTGAGATGCTCCTTCAGGGAACTTCTGCTCCAGGAGTCCCGCTCCTTTCTTTTCTGTGGTTTGGACTTGGGTGACAGTGGTGCCTTCAGCATAACAGCTCCTTAACCCTCGCTCTTAATTGTTCTCGGAAACACTCGTTGTTTTTCCATTTGGTTTGAGAGCCAGTCATGGGGAGTGACTCTTTCACGCTCGGTTTGTTTTGCTTCGTTGTCGGCTTTGGCACCTGTCATTGTGGATTAGGCTGTTCTCATGGTGTCCTTCCTGCAAGACAGGAGATAAGGAAGCGATTAAAAAAATGTCCATTTAGGAATCATAGAGCGAGGGGAGAGAATGATCTTCCAGTGCCTGCCTGTCTCTAGCACCATTCGGGTACCACTGAATCTGGTAACGCATGTGGTGCACTTTTCCTTAGCCAAGCGCATTAGGAGGGAACCAGGTGTAGTCAAACTGGGACAGAGTCGAGGTTGGGGAACAGTCCAGCAGCATTTCCGAGCAGGTGGAGCTCTAAGTGGGGCAATTCAGCATTGAAATTCACAGGCAGTGATGTTCAGTAAGAAGGGCATTCTTGGTTTACCTCTTCTGTGGATGATTCGCAGCAGAGCAGGAATAACTTAAGTGCAGGGCTCTGCCAGGAAGTCACAAAGCTATTTCACAAATGGCCGGCCAGGTGCATGTGGAAATATTTGTTCCAGCTGCGGGCTGTTCACATGGTCTGGAATTGTTTACCATCCCTCGCTCTGGTCCGTGGTGCCAGTGCTGCATTCACCGGCGTGGCGTGTGCTCCTCAGCGGCTTGCCTGCTCCCAGAAACAAAAGCCTCAGCCGGCGCCAGTTACCTGCCTGCGTTGACTGTGCCGCTCGCTTTTCAGGACAGGTGGTGCTCAGAGCTGGTTCCCACCTTGTGGCACAGATCGGTGAGGTTCGCTTGAGCCCATCGGTTCAGCAGCAGCATCCTTGCACACCTGTGTGCTCACATTCCTTATCCGCATTCACACACGAGCTGAGAAAGGGGCTCTCCTGAGCAGGATGGCGGCCCTACTCTTCTCACCTGAGTTATTATTTCATGCTTTGTTTCCTCTTCCAGAAGAGATTTATGGCACCTTTAACTGTGTTCAGCTAGGTGTTGGGTTTCCGTAAATCACAGGCTACCTAGAAGAGGGTACAGAAATAGTTCAAGTTCCAGTGCTAAGAGGCATCATTTCGAGATATGTCAGCATTCAAAGTTGGCATACAAGTATGCAACCCCTTAAGTAACCATTAGAATATGCGTGTCCAAAACCAGCCACTGTGCACGTCCATTGAAAAAGGGTAAAACTAAAGCAGAACTCTGGAATGTGCGTTCATCCTGAGACCAGTTCTGCCTTGGCATCATGAGGTGGCAAGAGAGAGAAGCGCATCAAGAAACGGTCCACCCGTT